TTAAAAAATTTAAATATTAAAAAAATTAGTAAAAATCTTCGCAGGCAAATTTGCCTGCATTACAATTTAAGGGATAAAAATTATATAATAAAATTTTGGATGAAACAAATTATATAACTGATATATTAATTCATATACAGTATATTAGAATTTATTAGAAGCATATTTATAGAGTATGCTTTGTGCTCTTATGCTTTATACTCTATATAAGTGCTGTCAATAGAAAACCTGTCATTGGGCTTTTAATGTTCAGTTGGCTTTCTGCATGCTATCTATGGGCAATCTATTCTAATGATAGATTGTCTATAGACAGCATACAGAAAGCCAACTGAATATTGAAAGCCCGATGACAGGTTTTTTATTGACAGCACTCATATATAATACTTAGTATTATAAATAAATCAAAATGATTGGTTATTAATTCTAGATGCAGCACAAAAAATGCGCGGCAAATCCTCGATTTTGATTGGCTAACGGCCGAGGATCTTCAAAATTTGGCCCGCATTACATAATTGTTTATTAATTTCTGGCCGAAATTAACTTTTTGATTTTTTCATTACAAAAATAGAAATTTTTAAAAATAAGCCCGCATTATAGTAAAATTGACTCAGGAACAATTTTCACTTAATAGGCGGCTGCGATTTCATTAGTAAAATTATGAGTAATTCCGGCCTAATTTTTGATCGTCGCTCTTAGCCAATCAAAATCGAGGATCTGCCACGCATTTTTGTACGGCACCTAGGTTCAATATGATAGGTTATTACTGCGTTATTGGCACGTGACACGAGGTAGTGATACGGGCTGTCCCCGGCCCAACGGCCGGGCCGACGGGCGGTCGACCATCAGCCTGTGTGGGCCGGGCCGGTCGATAAAGCTAATCATTAATATTAATAAAATGTAGACATTTAATAGTTGGCTAATTTAGGTGATAAATTAGCAAACAACTGTAATATATGAAATGGAAATGTCTGACATGTCAGGTGCAGAGACAGTTAATCAACATAAAATACCAACGACAAAAAGAATAAAAACCAAATGATTTTAGTATACTAGAATTTGGCAAGGAACTACCTGGTGGCTTTCTACACGTTTGATATAGCCATTGAGACCAATTCTTATTAGAAAAATTTATATTAGCAATTAAGTTCGGCCCGAGCTTTTTTTGGATCGACCCCGGCCCATGATTTTTTCATCGACCCGTATCACTACAATCTTTATTGTTAAAATTTTCAATTTTTTGGTATTATCGGTAAAGCCCATTTTTTGGTACGTACGTAGACGAAATTAAAATTTGATACGTATGTGCCCAAAAATGTTAAACTTCTGTGACGATCCAATCATTGCGATCTTTATTTAAGTTCCGCCTACACCAATCAGTCAGTTAATGTATATTTTTATTTTTCCATACAACACAGGTTAAAAATGCAAGTGAAATATTAATGTTTATAAGATTTATACAGCAATGCTATTTGATTCACTATTACATACAAACAACAGAATAAATTGATACGGTTGATTCTAAAACTTAATTATCTCGTTTTTTTTTTATCCGGAGTCTTGTGGGTTTTGTTTAAAGTAATTGTTGGAGGAGGAGTTATATACCGTTCTGATCTATTAACTTCCCTCTCATCGTCATCAAAATCATCGAGATCATCGAGAGCAGATTTCTTTTCTTGCACTAATTCTAATGTCTGTTTCATAATTGCCCTTGCTCTTAAAATGTCTTTTAGTACATATGCTAGTGGTGGATTATTTATATGGCTAGCAACTTCGTGAAAGTCAAAACGTCGAATTCGACAAATAGATCCCTTTGGAACATCCAAGATAAGGAGTTGAAATCGATTGGCACTATGTAACATACCAACTGTCTGTAATTTCCTAACAATTTGTTCATCATTATTACATTATTTTGCAAGTTGCACTAGCATATCCCTGAGCATCTTACTAAGTTTCAAGCTATCAGTAATGTATTTTCTTCCGTTTCTTCCTTCCCATTTCTTTCCCGCCTCAATAGCCCCAAATTCTAACCTATCTCCATTCAATCTAAACACCCCATCTCCTTTCCTTCCGATCTTCTTTCGATCTTCCTCACAATCCGTGTCATCATTTTTTCTATCACTAGATGCCATACTTGAGCCTTCTCCACGTATAAGATCAATCTCAAAATTACGAAACGCTGGGTCAATTATGGGACTCCATATATTGTGTTGGTACCACCCTTCCAATCTTGATGATGGATTCATAGTAAAGTTTTCGTTTTCTTCCCAAAGAGTGTGTATTGCACGATATGCATGGTTAATATAATTTAAGTAAAAATGGTCCTTGTTGGAGTACGAGATGCTGGGAGGTAGAAAGGGTTCGAAGATGGTTTTTCGAAATGAGGGTAAATTAGCTACCGAATATTTTTTCATGAGCTCAGTAATTGATTTATCGATTTTCGGTACAACTTTAAGATTTAAAGAGAATATTTCTTCCCACTCTTCTTCCCGGAATAATGATTGTGCTTTCTTATCGATATCATTTAGAATAAAGGAATGTAAATGAGATTCATGCTTTAAAGTTCGTGCATGTTCATAAATGATCTTCTCAACAATATGGCCAGATGATTCAAGGGTCCACATTTTTGCTGGGTTTAGACTCTGGTAGGCAAGATCAAAATCGGTAAAGTCGTTGATTTCTTGCCCACCTTCAGCTTCATTATCATCTTCATTATGATCTCCGATTTCGTAATTATCAATGCTATTATTCGTGGATCGGGTGGATTTTCTTTTTGGCTGAATCAAAAATTACAAAAAAAAGATTAGTAATTGTTTCAAAATAATTGAAATATACTGGTATTAGTTAGTTACCTTCTCATCCGGTTCTGCCTGGCTTTCATTCTCCGATTTTCTTTTTTGAGGCAATTTCCCACTGGCATTTACCGTTCCACCGATGTAACTTTTACTCCCAATGTTGCTGTTGATGGCCGTAATTGTTGAATTGTTTAAGTGAACACCGACTTTGGCTGGTTTATTGTGATTTTTCAACCAATCTCGCGCCAATTTATAATCTGGCCCCGGCTGGCTATTCTAGAAAAAAAAAAGAATCATTAATAATATGCTTAACATGCTTCTGAATTTCCCATCTGATCTTTGCATCCTACTAGGTCAACTCAAAGTCTTGAACGCAGCCAATCTCGAAGGTTTTCTGCGCCCCAGTAGGGCCAATGCCGGATCAACTCAAAGTCTTGAACGTCAGCCAATCTCGAAGATTTTCTGCGCCCCAACATTAGCTTCGTGGCTCATCTCGAAGACTTGAATAACACAAGGACTCAAGGTCCTTCCGCTACGCCACCAAATTTTTTATTTATGTTTTTGGATGTTCTATAGAATAGGTGGGCAAACCCCGCAACTCCGTTAAATATTACTAATTATTAGCGGAGTTTATTTTTTATATTGCCCACCTATTCTATAGAACATCCATGTTTTTAGCCCCCAAAAATAAACTTTCCTTTTTATAATTATCAAGCAACTCTTGTGCTCGTTCGCTCCTTTTGCCTTGCTGAGAATTAGCGATGGTCCTGAGGGACGTAAGGTAACTTTCTATTTTCTGATAAAATTCTTCTATGCCACATTCTTCCAAAAAGTCTGAAATATTCCATTCCGAAGAATTGCGCTTGAAATATTCGTCCATTTCCGGGTTAAATTATCTCAAACAGCACCAAATCACTGTAGGTAAGATTTTGGAGGGGGGCCCCGGGTCATGTGTTTTTTTTCTCTGTAGGTCCAGAACAGGGACTGCGATCACACTTTCATAGGAAGACATTCGTCTGATTGGTTAATTTTTGTAGATCTACCCGTGAGTCTCCGTAATAATTAACCAATCAAA